ACGTCTTCAAGCAACTTAAAGAAGTCCAGACGCTTTTCTTTGCAAGCTCCTTTGACTACGATGACCTGGATGACTGAGAACCTTCCTTCACAGACATATTCCTAGAAGTTTAGTTGATCTTCAGCTCAACAACAGTAGAATTTAAGCTGAAACTCGTGGAACTTGAATAAAACCTCAGTGTAATATCAAATAAACTTTGGATAAGCCTTGGTGAGAAAGATGGCGTTCAGTATCTCGCCCATTCAACATTCACACAGGCAGACAGAGCTGATCTGCATCTGTCTGGCTTCACCGCTGCTACTTTGAGTCGTTAAACTTCCCACTGTATTTGTGTATTGTGTTACAGCCCAACCAGTTTCACTATAGTTTCAGAGAATGAAATTCTACTGTTTTATTAGTCTGTAATTTAGCACTAGTTAGCCAATAGCACTCATACCATTTACAGTATGTATGAAGCTTGTACTGTTTGTATTATTTGTTTATAACACTACATCCTCTCAACAAAACATAGTAACTTCTAGCAACAATCAAACAAAGGAAAAACAAAGAAATATGGCAGCAACCAAATCAGGTGTTATGCTTTAAAGTCCAAAATGACTGGATTATTGATGTCATGATGGCTATATCTTTCTTTTACACCGTCTATGCTCAGGAAACTGCTCTCGTATGTCACATGATTTCTTGCTGAGTCTGTGCTTATTTAATATTGCTTACCTGTGCGCTCCAGGAGGGCGGGTTCATGACAAACCAAGCTCGTCCTCAGCCATTCAAAAAGAAGAGCTACACAGTGGGGCAGACTTACTGCACGGTCTCTGGCAGGGTTTTTACCATGACGATCATGGATGACAGCTCTGATGCTACCATGACAACAGCAAGTGTCAAACCCCGCCAACAAGCTCAACGCATTTCACAGCTCACTGCTGACGATGACATCACAGAGGGACCGCTGATTGCCATCCCTGAGGTGAAGACTCCGACTTCACCTTCGGACCTGCCACCTGTTGACAACAGACAAATGATTAGTGTGGCTGAAGGTCTCGACTTCTGTGGGGTCTCTGTGAAGTCCTTCCCTGCCACTCCTACATCCTCACTGGACAAGCTAAGCCCCATCTCTGGCAGGAAATCACCTTTGATGGCAGCAGTGGTATGCTGATTGGTTGGTTGGTGGTCAGCATGAAAACAAGCATGAAAACAACAACCTGGCAGCAAAATGTTAACCTCTGCAGCACTGACACAGGAAGCGTGGCTTAACACTGGCTCGTCTGAGCTAGTTCAAACTGAATGTCTTGAGCTCCAAAAGACTGTAGATATCTGAGGGACCAGAGTATCAGGAGACCAGGATCTCCACCTGGTGAACTAGGTCTCCTGGTGGTCTGAAAAGGAGATGCTGCAGAAAAGTTGATTTTCCATCAGAAAAAATTGATTACAGGATTTTAATCATAATTGATGCTGGATTAGATCATAATGGATGTTCTGCTCTGTTGTGATTGGTTGTTTTGCATCTTTTGTGGCATTAGCTGATTTCCACGTAATGTGTGTTTTAGTCTTGTTGCTGACAGGTAGTTTAAAAAAACCAAAAGTTTTTCTTATTTAAAGATTACATGATTCCAGCAGGTTCCTCTACCCATCTAAAAGAAATGTGCGACGGAGTCCTGATGCTGACAAATCTTCTAAATTATAAAACTTAAATGGAAAAGTGTGACATGTTGATATTACTGTTTTTATAGTGCTTTCATTGTCTGCCATAGATGGTCAGTGAGTATGTAGCAATCAATCACAACAGAGCTTATCCAATCTAGTGGTGCTGGTTTCGATTGGGTTTCCTTCTTCTCCAGTAAGCGGCACCTGTGAGCTGCAGTGTTCAGTTTAAACTCCGCCCAGCTTCTTGCTTCACCTCCTCCCGAAAACCATTTTGCGTCTTCTCCTTTGATCAAAATGGAAAACAGGAAGCTGATCTTTCTAGTTGTTTTCTTCTGTTTGTTGTTGTTTATTTAGCCTTAGTGCGCTTGGGGGTGTGGCTTAACTCCATTTTACTGCTATTTGTCACTTCTGTTTTGGTTGGTTACTTTGACTCTGTAATGCTTTTTTACTTTGTTGGAAGCTGCTGCCTTTTTATTAACATCCCTGTCCATGCGAGGTGTAAGCAAAGAGACAGCACGTCACAAATCCACCACAATGAGAGATTTCATAATAAGTTGTCTCAGTACTTCATGAGGCCTGGACCACAAAGCAGGATTAGTTTATCCTTGTCACCTAAGTGGTTCAGTTCCACTGATGTTGCCATGGCACACTTTAGATAAGAGAACCACTGCTGATCAATTAATTCAGTGTCCAACTCTGAGCCAAAGACACTTTTCTCTTAGAGCAAATTGGACTTATTCTTAAAGCAAACGTAGGGATTCTGAAGTTACCCGTAATCCTTTAATTTAAAAGTCAAAACTAATTGTTAATCCTGTAACGTTGTTGTTTAAGAAGCCTCATGAGGAGTGCTTAGAACTGAGGGGAGATTATGAAGACTGGGAGAGAAAGAACTAGTTCGGTGGGGATTGTCTTGTTTTTGTTTCATTGTTTATTAATGTAAATAACGATTGGACTGGTTGTTATGCAGCTCTTTTCTACTCTACCTGAGCACTCAAAGCACTTTGTACAACATCCCTCACTCACCCATTCACAACAGCATTTGTTTCTTATGTATAAGTTCTAACATTTACATTTACAAATTCACACTTTAATGGATGAATAAGAGCAACTTGGTGTTAATAACTTACCCAAGGATATTTGCCACCAGCTTTTCAATTAATAGATGGCTTGCTCTACATCTGAGCTACACCACCCCAGTGTGTAGTTGACATTACAGTTTACTATATTGTGAACTGAAAGACAGTCTGAAAGTTTTAGTCTTTGCCAAAGGGGTGGCTGTAGCTCAGGCGGTAGAGCAGGTTATCTACAGATCGGAAGGTTGGTGGTTCGATTCCTGGCTTCCCCTAGTCTTCCCCTAGAACATGGAGAAGATACTAACCCCAAATTGCTCTCCGATGCATCCATCGGAGTATGAATGTGTGTTAATGTTACTTAGAAAAAATGTGCTTGTGTGAATGCACAAGTTGTGTAAAGTGCTTTGAGTGCTCAGAAGAGTAGAAAAGCACAATATAAGAACCAGTCCATTGACCAAATGAGCATCATTAAGAAATATAGATCTTCAGGACAAACTCTGTTTCATGTTCTTTTAAAGGTAATTTAATATTTTCTATAAGCCTTAATATAGAAACCACAAGTAAGCCAGTCTGTTTTCTTGCTGAAGCTTTTTGAATCAACTGAAGACTTTTTAAGGATGTTTTAAGAAATCCTGTTAATAATCAATTACAGTAGTCTAGCCTAAAAAACTGCCTAACATCACTCTGACACAGGATGTTTCTAATTTCAGAGACTACAGTATGCTCTAATCGCTGTAATAATATATTATGGTCTGCAGTATCAAACGCTGCACTGAGGTCTAGCAGGACAAGCACAGAGATGAGTCCACTGTCAGAGGCCATAAGATCATTTGTAACTTTCACTAAAGCTGTTTCTGTGCTGTGATGAGCTCTGAAACTGTAACTCTTCAAATAAAATTCCTCTGCAGATGATCAGTTAGCTGTTTTACACGAGTTAAAGCCAAAGGAATACTTGGCTCAGCAGAGTTCTGACATTGTGTCAGCCTGGCTTCTAAGAAAGAAAGAAAGAAAGAAAGAAAGTGTACTTTATTGATCCGTGGGGAAATTCCTCTCTGCATTTAACCCATTCACTCAGTGAAGCAGTGGGCAGCCATTGGGCGCTCGGGGAGCAGTGTGTAGGGACGGTACCTTGCTCATGGGTACCTCAGGGTAGCTGTTCAGGGGAATCGAACCCCCGACCTTCCGATTATGGAGCTACCACTCTACCTACTGAGCTATCCCTGCCCACAGGGATTCTAAAAGGGATTTCCACCAGATTTAGGAATGTGTTTATGGGAATTTCTCACCATTATTCCAAAAGTGCATTTGTGAGGTCAGACGTTGATGCTGGATGAGAAAGACTGTCTTGCAGTCTTCACTCTAATTCATGTTGCTCTGTCGTGTTGAGCTCAGGACTTTGTGCAGGCCGTTCAAGTCCCTCCACACCAAAATCACTCATCCACTCTGTGAACCTTGCATTGTTTACTGG